ATTCTGTTCCTCCCTATGCCAGGTCTACACAGACACACATGTGTTCACACACATGTGGATATGCATACACAGTCATAAACATGAAAAAAATTAAATTAAAAGGCACATAATATAAAATAGCAAAGATCAAGCTGTAACTCAGTTGCAGAGTGTTTATGTAATGTGCATAAGGCTCTCTGGATTCAATTTCCAGCATGGTGGAAAGAAGGAAGGGAGGGAGAGAGGGAGGGAAAAAGAGAGAGAGGGAGGGAAGAAAACTAGGGAGGGAAGGAAGGGAAGGAAAAGAGAAGAAAGAGTAAAAGTATAACAGAGTGTAAGTGGACAAAATGTTGGATAAACACTAACAAAACAGGCAAAGACCCCAATAATGCTTTCAGATTGATATGTGCTCCTGGGAGGCAGGGGCTATTCAACACAAAGAACCCACAAAGAACCTGTGACAAGAACTTTAAAGTCTATGATAGTGTCACAAAACAACAAAACAAAAATTGGGGGCTTCAAAGATGGCTAAGCAGTTAAGAGCACTGGCTGCTCATGCAGGGGACCTGGGTTCAATTCCCAGCACCCATATGACAGCTAACAACCCTCTGTAATGCCAGTTCCAGGGGATCCGATGCCCTCTTCTGGCCTCCACAAGTTGATAGGCACATGGTGTACTTACATACACTTAGGCAAAACACTCAGACACATAAAAATAAATAATCCCAAAGTGAAGAAGCACTATTAGCCATGTGAACTTGGCAGAGGTGGGTTGGCCTCGGCAATAGTGGCTTTCCTCCCAAGCACCTGGTGTCCCAGTCCTGGAGTCAGCCACTTCTCCAGCTCAACCCCCAGTCCTCCCTGACTGTGCATGGCTGATTCCCCTCTGCTAAGGACTAGTCTCCCCATATGGAACTGCACACCGCTTAGCGAACCCTGGCCACTGTTAGAGCTTCCAAGAGGGGATCACCACCTGGTGCAGTTCACTCACAGATCCCCAACTGGGAAGGAGTCAGCCATCCCCTTTGGTGGCTGTTGTTTCCATCTGTCTGTACCACCAATCCTACTGTAACAGGCACCACACAGGAGAGGCTTTTAGATGCAGAATTACTCATCAGAGTATGTGAAATGTTAACAGTTCTTGCCACTGTCTTCCAAAATGGATTGTTGTCATGGATTTTTGTCTGTGTGCGGTGGCTTCGTTCCTGTTGACTGCCTGGCTTCCTTTCTTGTGGGGGGTCCTTGAAGCTGTATTTTGCCCCATCCTAGAAGTACAATCTAGGACCCAGAGCCAACTCCACACATGCATGACCCTTACCACGACCGAGGAACTGTGCTAAGGAGCTTCCATGCCTGGCTCCATGTCTGTTGCCATGGGAAAAAAAATTTTTTTTTTTTTTGAGACAGGGTCTCATGTAGCCCAGGCTTGTCTCAAACTCACTATGCAGCAGATGATGACCTTGAACTTCTGATCCTCCTGCCTCTACCATTGGACTGCTGGACCTACAGGTGTGTGTACCACACTCAGTTTTATGTGGTACTAGGGATTGAATTCATGGCCTTGTGCATGCTAGGTGAGCACTCTACCAACTGAATCACATCCCCAGCCCTACCATCTTGGAATTGTAATTGTTTTAAATAAAGACTCTTGTGCTCTTTTTCACACATGACTTGTCCTGCTCTTACCTTAGCCAGGGACCCTGGCTGTGCCCTCCCCTAGCTCCTCCTGTGTGGAACTATGTGCAGTTCTACCCCAAACACACTCACGTGTGGTAAAGGGAAGAAATGAGTATGCCAGGGCTCATAGGAAGAGGCGAGACTTGCAGGGGCACTCTGGGCAGCAGCCTGGCCATTTTCACCCCTGGCAGAGGCAGCCTAGCTGGAGATCCGTTTCCAGTTAATTATAAAATTGCTTGCTCTGTTCTGTGTGTGCAACTGGGAGCTGTGCCTCCTGGGAGTCTGTGCTGGTGCTCAGCTTCCCTGAGAGGCATTTGGAAGCCACTGGCATCTGTGTGTTTCTGTGACAATTTGAAACCAGCAAAAACAAACCCAAACAAAAGCCATTCGCTGTGTCACTGCGTCACCCTTAGCTAGCTAACCAGTCAGATGGGAGCAATGATTCCTCCTGGTGAATTTCTTGGGGCAGTCAGAGAGGGGCAGGGGAGGAAACTAAACACCTGTAGCTCTAAAGGGGCCATGGATCCACGATCACAGTCAGTCCCCCCGCTTTAAGCAAGAGAACCAGAGGATGTGTGCTTAGCACAGCCACAGAATTTGCTCCAAGCCTCACAAATAGACAATCTTTGATTTGCTTCCAACGTCCTGTTGCCGTGTGTTGCACAGCAGCTATGTGCTCAGCATGACTGCCTGCAGCGCTTGGTTCTTTCAAACACCACTGAACATGCGTACACGCCTGAGCAGAGACATCCAAGCTTCAGGTTGCTGCTCACATCAGACCTGTGCAGGGACAAAACTGTCCCCAATTTACAGACAAGAAAATAGCTCCAGGGCTGCAGAGATGGCTCAGTGGTTAAGAGCACTGGTTGCTCTTGTAGAGGACCTGGGTTCGATTCCCAGAACCCATATGGTAGCTAACAACTATCAGCAACTTGTTTCAGGGGATTGACAGCCTCTTCTGATGACTGAGGGCACTGCATGACACACAGGTGCAAGCAATACACTCATATACATAAAATAAAATATTTTCTTAAAAAATAAAATAGCTCCAGGGAGACAAGGCGATCAAGCCAGACTTACCCAGTAATCAAGTGGCATAGCTAGGATTCAATTGCAGGTTGGGCAGTCAGGGCCTATGATCTTGGTGCATGCATGTTCATGTGTACATAGTATATGTACATGCGTTTGTGTATGTATAGTCTATGTATGCATACAAGTTCATATGTGTATTCATGTGTGTATAGTGTGCGTATATATTCATGTATGTGCACCAGTGTGTATGTGGAGGTTAGAGGTCAACATTGGGTGTCCACCTTACTCATTCTCCATCTTATTTTTTGAGGCAGGGTCACTCACTGAGCCTGAAGCTCATTGACTCAGCTAGACTGACCGGCCAGTGAACTCCAGTGATCCATCTACCTCTGTTTCCCCAGTGCCAGGACTACAGATGTGGCCACTCTGCCTGATTTTTCACTTGGGTGCTAAGGATTGAACTCAGGGCCTCATGCTTGTGTGGCAAGCCTTTACTCACTGAGCTGTCTCCCTAGTCCCCAGTGCTTTTTTTAAAAAAAAATGTATTTATTATTTTTATTTTATGTGTATGAGTGTATTGCCTGCATGTGTGTAAGTGCACCCATGTTGTGCAGTGTCCTCAGAGGTCAGAAGGGGGCATTGGGTCCCCTGGAACTGGAGTTAGAACAGTTGTCAGCTGCCATGTGGGTGTTGGGAATCGAATCCTGGTCCTCTGCCAGAGCAGTCATTGCTCTTAACTGCTGAGCCATCTCTCCAGCCCCACCAGTGCTCTTAATAGCTGTCCTAGATGATTTGGGGACCTGGGGTACAATGGGGGGGTCTGAATGCATTGGCTTCCCTACTGCAAAGCTGTTCTCCTGGCTGAATTCCGGGTGGCATCTGTTTCTTTTTCTCCAGTGGCCTAGGGGAAGAGGCCCTGGAAGTCCTTGGCACAAGTCCAACCTCACTTATTCTCTGTGTGACTGTGGCTGTGTCTTTCCCTCTATGTGCCTAGTTTTTATAACTATAAAAATGGAATGACCAGACTGAAGGGAAGGTTTTACTTATGATCTTATCTGCTGATGGGTCCTCACATGAAGGGCTGAGCTCAGGAACACAGATAGGCTGAGAGCCCACGGGAGGAAGAGCCAACTCAGAGACCAAGGCCAGC